GGGCGCGTCCCTGGCCCGCCCCGCTGGGCCTGCCTGGTGCCGTGAGCGGGGCGTCTCCCGGGGGGTGAACAGGGGCAGCGAGCAAACTGCAAACCCCGAGATACGTCTGAACGCTTCGCAGCGCTTCACCTTCCTAGTGCTTTGTTCCCAGGGGGGAGAGCTGGTTCGGGGTGGGCTGGAGCGTTATGTAGTTTGGTTCTGCAGGGTTCTTCGGTATGGGAGCTTTTGTCTGTGAATGTCAGAGTTTGTAATTCCCAACGTCTCCGAAGGGGTGTATGTACGCGCAGCTGGCAGTCTGCCAGACATGCACACACAGCTCCTTGCCTTCAGTCTAGTTTCCTCTTGCCATAATGTCTAGTAAATCCCCACCAAGTGGTTAGTCTGAAACACCTTCAGTCCAGTGAAGGGCCCTGAGCATTTAACTGTGTGTTATCATAGCCTAAAGATTTGACATGGAACTTGATGTAAATGACACCAGGGGTGACAGTAGCATCCTGGGCAGAGTTTCCCTTGGCCAGATGTTGCATGTTTCCTACAGGTTGTCTCCAAAGGGTTGTGGTGCTGCTGCTGAAACCCTGGATTGTGCAGTTAGTGCATAGCCTGTCACTAGAGGAAAACAATTTTCTTGGCATAGGTTTAAATACTAGCAGAGTAAGGCAAGTGATGGCATGATGTTGGGAGCTGTCTTCAGCTTGTATTAAGACTAATAATAATGTACATTCTGCCTCCTCTAAAGTGGTTTTGCTTATATCGTTTTTCTTTTCTGATGAAGAAGCAACTAACTGGTTTTATTGTTTTGCCTGGAGTTTCCAGAGGGAGTAAAAGGTAATAAAAAAAGTCATAAGACTTAAACATCTTTGTCACAAAAACTTGCTGGGCCTCCTGTCCTCTAACTAGTTGTAAGTGACGTGTTCACACAGAACACTCAGCAGTGGTGTCATCTGTGCAGTTACTGCTAAAACCAGCACCTGACACCCAGCTGGTGTGTGGGTTGTACAGTGGAGGAGAGGGAGAGCTGTGGGATGCAGGATGGTGGGGAGAAGTGAGAGGAAGAGTAAGTAAGCAGCAGAGGAGTGTTTGCAGGACAAAAATCTGTAAGAAATTTAATTACTTTGCTGTTCTGTTTTGTGTGTGTGTTGTTGTTTTGGTTTGTTTCTATGAAGGCTGCAGAACTTCGAGCTTACTTAAAATCCAAAGGAGCAGAAATCTCTGAAGAAAATGCTGAAGGTGGACTTCATGTGGACTTGGCACAGATTATTGAAGTTTGTGATGTGTGCCTGAAGGAGGATGACAAAGGTTTGCATTTAAAGTCTGGTTGGTTTTGCTAACCATAGCATCATCCGTGCTGTCAAACAGTCACTGCTGGCAGAATTTGGAGGCACATTGCTTGGCTTGCAAGTTAATTGATGCACCTTTCCAGAACTGGAGGTGCTTGTTTCCCTCATTGCCATGTAATGCACTCTACCCCTCCCTTCTCCAGACACCCAGCACCCTTTGAAGAGGTTGGAAATCAGGCTAGACTGTGCTTGTTTTGAGCGAGTTGTAGATAAAATAGGTTTTCTCTCAGGAGATATGCAATAAAAGTCAGACTGTCAGTCAATGGCTGTGATGCAGAATGACAAAAAATAAGGTAACAACAAAAATTAAAACTAGACATTTTTAAATAGAAGTTTGAAGGCCTAAACGTTAATTGATAAATATTAGCTGAAAACACTAGGGTTATTCAGTAGTCGGTAACTTTTTGAGTTAAGGCTCTAGCTCCATAGAAGCTGCACTAATATGTCTTAATGACACTGACAGTGCTGCAGTTGCCTTAAATGGTCTTTCTGTGCCTCCTGGGCTCTGTACCAACATACAGCTTCCGTTTAAGAACTCTTACATGTGAAAAATCAACTGCTAATTTGAATAATAAGTGTTGTTTGCAAGAATGCATGGTTAATCTAAGAAGTACTTTTAAGTTTGGTTTTTTTCATGTTGCTTTTTACTGTAGGTAAATGAGCATGGAAGACTGGAGAAGGTTATTGCTCTGCTGTTTGATGTCCAGGTGTCATTTTGGGGAATAAATACTATTTTTCAGCTGTAATGAATTTTGTTCTTACATAGCTGATATTTGGGCAGACATGAAAAGAAAACACAAAATCTGTCTAATCCTGTTTGGCAAGGATGTGACCCCACACTTCCAACCGGAGCTGCGAGGCTTTGGTATATATTTTGTTTCTGCAGGCATTTTTCCTGTGATCTGACTTTCCCATGTGGTTCTGGTGAAATGTTGTTTGACACTTGAACACTAGGTGTTAGTATTCCCAATTTAGAACTGTGGGGCAGTTTTCTGGATGTACAGGAGGAAGCCACTGGTTTTTTTGAGACCAAAGCCTAAAGTTCTTCTGCCTTATGTGTGAACAGAGAATTTGGAGCAAGTTTGGTATCAAATACCAGATTCTGTTTTGACCTTACAGTGATAATTCTTGCTTTACATGGAGATGTGTTAGTGAAAGACCTCATGAGCCAAATCTTCCATACATTCTGATAAATATCTAGATTGGTTATGTTGGTATTTTCTCTCTTTTTATAGTTCTTGTCAGTGCAAAATAGTAAGTGAAGCAGAAGAAACTCTAGCACTAAATAGCTAATGATGGTTGCTGCTCATGGTTGTAAACAGCTGTCTGTTTTGGTTTGGTTTGGTTTTGTGCAGATGTTGAGAGTGTGATGAACAGTGTAGTCTCTTTGCTTCTTATCCTGGAACCTGAGAAACAGGAAGCACTGATTGAAAACCTGTGTGAGAAGTTAGTAAAATTTCGGGAAGGAGAGCGCCCATCTCTGAGACTGCAGCTGTGAGTATTGTGCAGCGGGAAGGGAGATGATGGTATCTTGCAGCTGTACATCTTGAAATCACAAGTGTGCTAAGTCTGTTGCAGGAAGCACTCTTTTTTTACCTTATTTTTCATTAAATAGAATATACTTCCTTTGCATTGCAATTCATTTAAGATGTGAGGTGCCACCAGGTGCTTTGCATGTCCTAACACACACCTTCATAGAAACATTGATGTGCACTCCGTTCAAGTTTTGGAAACATCTTTAACTTGTTTTTTTCCTTTCTTGTTTGTGGCTTAGACTGAGCAATCTCTTCCATGGTATGGATAAGAACACTCCTGTGAGATACACAGTGTACTGCAGCCTTCTGAAAGTGGCCTCGTCATGTGGTGCCATCCAGTACATTCCAACTGAGCTAGATCAGGTAATTAATGTGGTGCTTCCTAGTCATGGCCTTTGTTATTAACCATGTTACACCTCACTACAAATTAGTCAGTTGATACAAACCGTTTCTCCTTGTTAGAAATTGCCATTTCTCAGTGAAAAAATAAACACCTAATACAGAATTTCTTACCTTGTGAAGCTCTGTCTACTGAATCTAAATAAAGTTTCTATTTCTTTTCCATTTCTGATGCTGAATGTAGTTAGTTGAGTGTGCTTGATTCCTGTGAAAGTGAGAAGCTTTGATCAGGAGTGAGGCATCAGATTCTTCTCCCTTGCGCTGAAATCAGAGTGTATTGGAATCACTCATCCTTGCTTAGGAAGCAACATGGAGAGCACAGACTTTATGCTTCTCATGGGAAAAATTCCAGGTTCAGGATGGGTCAGAGGACTGAGGGAGAAATCTCTGTGCAATGTGTTTTCAATCCTTTTCTGCCTGAGAGAAAAAGAACTATTTTCCATTTTATTTTGGTTTTTCCCCCAGTGCTTCTTTTTCACTTGTGTTCTGCCTAGGTCCGAAAATGGATCTCTGACTGGAATCTCAGCACAGAGAAGAAGCACACTCTTCTGAGACTGCTGTATGATGTCCTAGTAGACTGCAAAAAAAGGTATCAAAGACAAATAATGGGTACTAGATGGCTGCATTTTAAGTTAATGTGTTATAAGTAATCTCTAGGGAAAGTATTTCTCACAGCACTTTTGAATTAATCTGTACTGAAAATCCAATCCAACTATACCTGTTTGGTTTTTTTTCCTTGTTATGTTTTTGTAGGACTCTTGCATTAAACCAGTGTTTCCAAGAATATTAAAGTTAGTATTGAATTAGATGCAAACCGCAGGCTCCCAAAATAAAAGTGTTCCTTTCTATTAATATTAATCTTTCAGCATTGTAGCATTATGCCAAGTTTATTATTTAATTGCACTTTTGACGTTTTAGTGCATGGTAGTGCTATCTCTTTTTTAATGATGTTGGGAGGCTTATCAATCACAGTTAACAGAATCAGTCTTATAATGTAAACATTACCTTTAGGACAGAGCTTTCCACTAGTCATGGAAATTAATGTCCACAGAATACCTGTTTGGCCATTTTAAATTATTACCCTGGATCATAAGAAGCATCTTTGATCTAACAAACTTGGCAGACCAGTGTTTTCTGGCATGTGAAGTAATCCTGTGTGTATCATGCTTGTAAATTGATGTAAGTCTTAACTGAGAGCTGTCAGCAGTTTATCTTCCAGATGTGATAGACTGTATTGACTCCATTGGCCAGGGCTATAGAGGTGGGCTGGTATCCAGAAGTGGTTTCAGCATGTAGTTCCACAACAGTTTCAGCCTGTCTAAACTGTCCCTGCTGCTGTTTGGGATGTGTGTGTGTGTTGTTTGCACCGTGCCTTTCCATTCACTCTCTTTGAGTTTGTTTTCCAAGTTTTTTTAATTTTCATAGTGAGGCAGCACAGGACCTCTACCCTGCTGACTTACACTGGTAGTAGCACTGCATTTTTATGCTTATGTGGTTTCAGAAATACCACACAGATACTCTGTAAGCCTTCTAGTCTTGTAAACATTTCTTATGCAGTTGTTTTATTGAGAGGTTTTAACTAGCTTAATTCCCATACTTAATAGCTAACTATTTTTATCTATTCTTGTTATCAAAACTGTGGATTATACATCTAATTTTTCTTCCCAGTGCTACCAGTAACCCTGCTGCCAAATAGTTTTTGCTTACTAATAATAGGTGATATTTTAAAGTTAGGCATTAAAAACTTGGACAAACCCTGTGATATATTACTCCTGCACTCAGTGTCCTTGCCATCTGTTGTAGCAAGCTTTGCACTGAGCAGGGCAATTTTTCAGAGCTCTTACACTTCTCTCCAGAAAAGAAAACAAGAAGTGACCTTAGCACCTTTGACCTGGCTCACTCTCCTGGATCAGTGGGCAGTATTTGCAATACTATGGGAAACTCTCAGGAGCATTCCAGCTTTAGCACTCAGGAATGTTGCCCTATCTAGCAGTATGGGAAGATAAGGAGCAACTGAAAAATAAGTAATAAAAATCATACCTCACTTAATGTGTTGATTTATAATGAAGGAAAAAGAACGTATAGTTGAAAACTGTTCAGTTTAATTTGTTGTTGTTGTTTTATGTTTTAACTTCACTCAGTGCAGCAGAAGAGATGGTTTTCATAGCTAGTAGATTTTTCCCCAGTGGATGAGTTGGTAGTGAACAGCTTGTTAGCTGATGAAGAATAGATGCTGCATTATGTTCTGTGTGATGTTACTTTTCCTCTAGCAATAAGTGAAAGTTTGGTTTATCAGTTTTTTTCCAGGCACTTTCTGGCTAAAGTTTCTTCTTTTTGGTGATCAGAATCCTCTTGATCTCTTTGAAGAGGGATTTTTATCTCTCCCATGATCAACTGAAGAAAAAAATTGGTGGTGGTGGCTGGGAAACAGGTGCTTGGGGTGGCTTGTTTCTGAGATGTGTGTTTGGTAGCTGAGCTTTGCAGGAGATAAGGTGCCTTCTCTGCTGCTTGTGCTCCTTGCTGTAAAGGATCTGCAGTAGAGTTTTGTGCCTCAGCTGTTTTCCTCTTCAGCATTTCCCTAGCTGTGTTGGTATGAAACTGGAAGGTAACACAACCTGCTTTCCAGCTACAGATGGAGTTTTACAGGCATGCGTGGTTTGCATTGAGCTCCAGAGTGGATCCCTGCTGTGAGGCCCTGAATACCATGCCAGGCACCAGCTCACAGCTGGTCTTTGCTATTAGCCTGGCAGGATTCAGAGTGGGGTTGATCTTGCTCAAGTTTACGTTCAAACAAGTCTGGCAAATCTGGTTATTAATACCTGTAGCAAAATGTCATCATGTCAGGCACCTGCAAAATAATGTTTTCATTTAATTTTAATTCTTGTGGAGCACAAAACTTTACCTTATATAGAAGCTGTCAGATAGTAGTTTTATGAGATTTAAAATAAATACCCATATAAAGATAGTGTCATTGTACTATAAAAGCCACTCAGACCTGTGCTGCTATATAGGTTAAACCCTTATCACAACACAATATGTAGTGGGAATGTTGTGTTCCTTCCTTCCCTGTGCAATTTATTTATTTTTCTTTTAAGGAAATTTTGTGGGTCTATCAGACAACATGGGGCAATTTGCTGCATCTGGAATTTGAGTGACTTTTTAGGAAGAGCTTAGCTTTATACTGTAACTTGCTGTACTCTGGAGAGCAGTATTCAGCCTTCCTCCTGTCCACTGAGCAAATACCTGTCAGTAAATCTGTCACCAGTCAGTGCCTGTTCATTGGAGGTGTCTGCAAACACAGCCTCTTGTTATCGAGGTTTGGTTGAATCAAGACCCATAGCCTGTCCTGAGGCACCAGCAAAATGTATTCTCTTTAAGGGAGAACTGCCACGGCCTTGTATTTTAATAGTTAGTAAGCCATGAGAAATAGGAAATGGATTTTTGTGTATATCCAGCATATTCAGTGTGTGTATATTTTTGCTGAACATTTTGTAAAAAGCTTCCGCGGTTGCTGGGCTCACTCACTAGTGGCAAGAACTGTTACGTGAAAATAAATCAAAATCTTAACGTGACACAGTAAGGGTCTGGCAGCTGGTCTGTAGTGACATTGATGAGCTGTTATTTACAAACAATCTGGGTAGACAAGGCAGTAGGTTTACTCAATTTTCCTAGAATGAATTGTTTTTCTAAAAGCTGTCTTGTCAGTGCAGCGTAGGGAGCTGCTTGCTTCACGGCAGCCTAAGCCAGTCTAATTGCCGGCTGCTTAACTTTGTCAGTAAAATGAGCAGCTCTCACTCTGAATACTTGAAGAGAGAATCTGTGAAGGAAGAAAAGGCAGCTTTTATACAGCCACTTTTCTGACCATAAATATTCTTTAAGATATGCCATTTTACATTTGAAATAAACTTTGCAGTGCTACTTACTCTGCAGTGATTAAATCCAGATGTGCATAAGAGGAGTATTCTAGTGAACTATATAAAGCTGTTCCTAGCTCAGAAAGCTTTTTCCATAACCAGCAGGTAATTTATCAATTTAAGAGAATGAAATGAAGGGTGAAGATAAACATTTTGTAGAACAAGAACTGAAAGAATACATCTAGTTAATTTGTTCTCTCCACTAGAATTAAAATGGATCATCTACAACTTTTTCAAGTGTAATTTAATTTGACCTATAACATCATAATGGAATTATTTAAATATTTGAATGTCTTGTTTGAACTATTTTTTCAGCAATCCTGAGGTAACTTTATTTTTCTCCTACAGTGACACTGCAGCAAAAGTAATGGTGGAACTACTGGGAAGTTACACAGAGGACAATGCCTCCCAGGCTAGAGTTGATGCTCACAGGTAATACTGACTTCCTTGTTTCCTTAAAAGTAACTTTTTCTCAATTGCTAAATTATGTTGATCACCTTACTATTGAAAGTATCAAATGGCCAGGCAGGCAAGGGCCTTGCCACAGCCTTTTTTCTATAGCGTGGCTGACTTTTGTTTATTTGTTCAGTCTAAGGTAGCTTTCATTGTTCCCAGGTTTAATGCACTGTGTAACTGCACAGGTGTACTGCTGAGAGATCAGCGTCAGGTAAAGGTGTTGTTTACATCAACTGTGCAATCAAAATTTGAATTGGCATTCTTTATTTCAGACTTTTTGCTTCCTGATTTTTTTGATTCTCTAACTTGGCATCTTATTTTCAAGTAGCATTTTCAGTTGAAAAGAATTTCTTGGTCTCTTTTCTAAGAGCAAGTACTAAGGATGTGAACTGCACAGAAATAAACTTGTTGGACAAGCTGGGAGTAAATTGATTCTTAACAGCATATTTTCCCCATTGGCCAATAGGAGTGAAAGCTTGTACTTTCACATATTACCTATGATGATTCTTTTTAGGAATTAGTAAGTCATGTAGTTCTGCCAAAAGCCAGCACTTCTCAAGGGAGTTGTTTATTCTTGAGCATGCAGGAAAATCAGGATGACTCATTTGAAAACTGAAGTTTCTGCATATAAATGACAATTTCATTGACTACCCCACAGCAATATGAGGCCTTTTACAGCTGAAGGAACACGCCTGCCTAGGCCTGATGATATTGCTTTGTCTGTGCAGGCCTTGGGTTCTTCTGGGCATATGTTGTGCGGCACTGTTGTGGTCTAGGCTGTCAGAGTCAGTGTAGCACTAAGTCTTCTAATGTGCTGCTGAACAAAGGCTTTCATCTAGAGTTCTAGAAACACTTCAGGTCTGTTTATAGTCTGGAGCTGCAACAGATGAATCATAGGCCTTGCAGTGTTTGGTACTGGGATTTTATCTGTTTTGTGTCACGTATTCAAGGATAATTAATCTTCCTAAACAATTCTATGAAATTTTAGGACAGTAAAATTACCTCTAGGAATGAAGGTTTAGCTGGAAGTAAATGCATAGATGGAAGTGGTAGGATGATCTGTGGTCTTACCACCTGGCAAATTTCATTTGTGATTCTAGTCAAATTACTTAATGCTTTTTGTTCCTTGTTTTTTTTTCATCTGCAAAATGAATATTAAAATTGCAATGTGACATGTCTTATATTTAAGCATAATTGAAGATCCTTGGGTGTTTTCTAGAAAGCAAAGAAAAACAAATTGAGTTACTTTTATTCATAGAAATATGGATTGCTATAAAAATAAGCATTTTCCTTTTCTAATTAGATGTATTGTACGAGCATTGAAGGACCCAAATACCTTTCTTTTTGATCATCTTCTTGCCTTAAAACCAGTCAAATTTTTGGAAGGAGAACTTATTCATGATGTAAGTAACTTTGTTTTTAGCAAGATGGTTTGATATCTGTGGAGTGCCTTATTTTATTAATGTCTTTTGAAATTCATTAGAATACTTATTATGTTAGTAACATTCAGATCAATGTACTGTTTCTTTTAGCGCTTTTGGAATTAAAAAATGAGAGCATTACACGTGAAATGTTTTCCTTTAGAAGTTTCAGAAAACTCAGTTACAAATCCTGCCCTTGCTTGAGTTCTGTAGCAAAGCTGCCTTTCAGGTCTGAGAAGAGGCACGAAGTTCAGCACAGGTTGCCCTCAACTACTGATAGAAGACAGACTTTTACCTGTTAATGGTTTGTTTTTCTGTTCAATACCAATAGGTTTTTTTACATAAATATATGTATGTATGTATGTATATTCCCAGGCTGCAGAGAGGGAAACATAGGTAATATTTAAACTGTTCTTGTATTTGTTTTCCATCTTCTAGCTCTTGACAATTTTTGTAAGTGCTAAACTAGCATCCTATGTCAAGTTTTATCAGAACAACAAAGACTTCATTGACTCCCTTGGTAAGTTTTCAGATCATTGAATGTCTGTTTTCATGGCTAAAGATATGGAAGCTGCAAAGTGCTTCAGTTTGAGCCCATATATTGAAGCCAAGGAAATTTAATAGGCATTTTAAAGAATGGCTTGAGTTTGTAGACTCCAATCTCTACTAGATTGTAAATGGAACATCTAGCTGCAGTTTGTTTTACTAGGACAAGCTGTTTTACCTTTTAAGAAGGGAATTTTAATGCATTGACACTCCAAGCTAGGCCAGAGATCATGACTGTCCTGAGTAAGCCAGCACCTTGTGTATACCTCTTACAATTTTTCTATGATCAATAACTTCATAGCAGCAAATACTTCTGAACAGCGAGATAAACCACACAAATGATATGTGTGTGTCTGTGTGTGCTGGTGCATTAGACCTAGCAAGCCAGTCTGTCCCAGTTAATTTGTTTCATCACATGAAGCAATGTGATGGAATGTTAATGTCAGCACCCTCTTTATTTACACACTGTGGAAAAAAGGAGTAGTAATTAACACTTTGACACTCCCCCGTTGATGTGTAATTGACTGTTGCAAAGGAGCACTGGTTCATAAGCTATTGCATGCATTAAAATGACGTTTTTTATATTCCAGCTTTTTAGGACAGGGGTCAGTGACAATGCAGAAATTGCTCAATGATGCAGATTTTTTTATGACTGCATTAAGGTTTTGACATATTGGTAATGAATAAATGTTTCCATAAAAATCAGATTTATATTTTTTTATAACTTTGATTTTGAAGTGACACTTGAATACCAGCTGAATGCGTTTGAGGAAAGGCAGAGATTCAGTAAAACAGAGTTTAGTGCAGCCTTTTAACACATGCATTATTTTGTTTAATGGAGTGTGGTACAATTCTGAGAATAATTACCCTCAAAGCTTTAAAATGCTGGTACTTTGGGTATTAAAATGATGGAAACTTCAGGATTTTTTTGAGGGATGGAATTAGGAGCAAGGTTTTGGTAGTCTGTAAATGTGTTTATAGGATAAGCATCCTTTTCGTCATGTTTATTTGAACATCAGCTATGTAGAAGACTTACTGTTTTATTTCTTAGGGAAAAATGAGTTTTGCATTGTGCTTATTTTTATGTATTGAAATGGCTTATCTGTTATTTGTCCGTAGAAGTATTTGCTGAAAATGCTGCTGTGCTTATATGTGAATAAATTTCTGGAAGAATAATGACACATATACATGGTATTAGTTGTGTAATATACAGTGGGCATGGTTTGTTTTGCCTCCCTGTAGGTGTTCATCTCTCTGAGTATACGGTGTGTGCATTTTCAGGATATCTAGGATTCACATAATCGTAGTAAAATCCTCTAATATCTATGTGGCTGTTTTGAAAGACAGCCTTACTTCTATGATCTTGATTTCTCACCTGATTTATGTTGTACTCAGAAAATTCTGAATTTCTTTGAGCAGTGGACAAAGTAGAGATTGTGAGGCAGTGCAAACTAGAGTGCTAGGAACTTGGTCTGAGTGTTTCAGCCATGCCTTTGAAAAATAAGGGCAGTTTGGTATAGAATTATAGAATTAATTATAGAATTATAGAATTGTAGAATTAAATATGTAGAATACAATTATTAGGTGAGGCATTCAAAAATTGTTTAGAACACCTATCATCTGCTCCCCAAAATAAACAGATTTTTAACTATGCTTTAAAGATTATTTTAAAAAATAACTTGCCAAGATATGGGTCTTTAAAGTAAAGGGAAAATAATAAGATGTTTTCAGTGACAGTACAGTCATCAACTTTAGTTCTAACCTTTCCTGGATCAGGACCAATTAAAACTAGTCTCTGAAAGCTGTGCAGTGAAGGCTCCTACAGGTGGCATCAGTTTGTTACAATTTGTTGCTTTATTAATGCTGACAACTTAGGCCAACAGTAGCACTATCAGTGTCAACTGAATCGCCCTAACATGTCCACATTTAATCTGGTGTTATCAGCAGTCTTTTTCGGAAAGTTAATCAGCATCTCATTTGCATTTGTTAATTAGGGTTAATGTGTGCTAATTGATTTCTTGATGCTTGTAGAGTTCCATTAAACCCAGTTAGGTATAGTTGTTGGTGCTTCTTGTTGGTATGAATTATGGTGATCACGTTTTTGTTGAATCAGTGCCAAACAGTGAACCTGCATCATAATTATAGCTAATTAACACAACATGGTGTCCTGCACTAATGTGCTTTCTTACTAGTGTATGGATTTTTATGTTATAAATTAGTGCATGTATTTATGCTATAAATTCCAAACTTAAATATTTACTGGAGCAATGCAAATGTTTATAACACCATTCAAAACCAAAATTATTGATGTTGATTTTAAGCAAACTGCCTCTGAAATCTTAGTTGGTACCTCACAGAACTCAGATTAAGAGATGTCTTGGTTCATTCATCTCAATGTCTTGGCTTTGTTGACCTAGATTCTTTTCAGGAAAATGGTCTCTGATTTAGATGTACAAGCCCTTGGCTCAATTCCTTGTGTTGCCAGTCACACAATCATGTAAAAGGTCTAACCTCACTTTTAATACCCGTTCCTCTCTTCTTGAAGGACACTTTTTTGCCACCCTAGATGATGTGACTCATGATGCTTTTTTTGCTGTAGTATAATAAAACAGTTAAGCTGGTGCCAAAACACATTTTTTGGCACAAAAATGTTGTCAAACCATTACTGGGAGAGGTTTATTTTCATCAACTACATGAGAATGAGCAGTGATGGTGTAAGAAGATCATGACATTACCAGAGGTGTACTTTCCATTTCCAGATGTGACTGAAAATTTCACTTGCACCCTCACCACCTAAAATTCTGTTGAGGTGATGTATTTACTGTTCCAAAAAAAAATCTCTGTGCTTCATTTTTGTAAATACTTACTACCTTTTACTGACAATGAGCCCTTTGATGCATTCTCAACTAAACTAGCTATTTTACCAAAAAAAAAGGAAGGTGCAAGAATTAATGTTTTACCTACAGAAATTTTTGGTAAGGACAGGTGGAGTATTTTTGTGATGAGAAATAAATTTTAAATTCTTGGAAGCATATATGGTAAAAAACATGAAAAGCATAGTAATTGATTGTTGAATTATAATCAATATCCATAAGCTATGAACACTTCTCCACAGGATTGTTGCATGAACACAATATGGCAAAAATGAGGCTACTTACTTTCATGGGAATGGCTGTAGAGTGTAAAGAAATATCATTTGATACAATGCAACAGGAACTTCAGATTGGAGCTGATGATGTTGAAGCATTTGTTATTGATGGTAAGAACTGCCGTTCCATACTTCACACAGTGCTAATGGACTAGACTTTTTATAGTCTTCTAAGCTAATGTTATATTTTCAGAAACATTCATTTTTAATTTGTGTTTGTTGCAAGATACAGCTGCAAAACTTTGTGCTTAAATACACGTAACTGTTGTCTTCTAAATAGTCTTTTTCTTTTCAGTGATGGGCTGTAATTCTTTATAGAACTAGTAAATTGTTTGAGGTTTAAATTTGTCATCTGGCTTTGTTGTCATTAAAACAGGATGTGTTTGTAGGGGAGAAAAGTTCATAAAAACTATACAGGATATTGCTTTAATAGACTGGCACCAAACAATAGGACTCATGCATGATCTTCATCTTGTTACATCATCTTGCTTTTCTGCCTACTAGACCGTTAAAACCAACAGCACAACAATATTAAGTCAACCTCTGTGTTTTCATGTTCGTATTGCTCTAATTTTGAACAGTTTCAATGCAGTTAAATACCTTTGCACAATCCTGAAAATATTGCTTAAAACAGCATTGCTTTTTTGCAGCTGTAAAGACAAAGATGGTGTACTGCAAAATAGATCAGACACAGAGGAAAGTAGTTGTCAGGTAAGACTTAATTCTTCATAGCATTTTGCAGAACTTAGTATGTTCTAATTATTTCACTTACATTTGTAGAATATTTTAACTAGAAGCCAGGTATTGTTCCTATCAGTTGCTGGTAGTTAAATAGTTGCTATTTATCATAATTTTATTAAAGCTCACACTGAATGTGATTAGCTTATTTAATGAAAGAGTCCTATTTTCCAGCACATTTCATTTAATGACCTAATAGTGACAAGAATACTAATGGCTGTTGTTGCTTTAAATATTTGGGAAGGCTACAGAATTCTCTGAGTAGTAAAGTGCAGCCCTTTATATAGAGAAAATAAACATTTCCCTGTTCACTTGTGAAAGTAAAGCAATGCTGTAACAGAATTCTTAGGTGAGCATGACATCTAGTAATCATCTTCCCATTTTGTTTTACTTCTCTAGTCACAGCACACATCGGACTTTTGGAAAGCAGCAGTGGCAGCAATTGTATGACACTCTAAACACCTGGAAACAAAACTTGAATCAAGTGAAAAACAGTCTCCTCAGTCTCTCAGACACCTAAAACATTTTTTTTACCTAGTCATGTCACTTGAGATTAAATTTATTCAAAACTTTGACAACTGTTGTTTCCTAATGTATACAATTGGTTTAAAGAAGACAAATATTCTAAATTCCAACACAAGAAAAGCAATAAAAGTAATAATGGGAAATACCTTCTGTTGATTTTCTTGAATCATTAGCACCAACAAACAGTTGCAATATTGGTTATACTTCTTCTGTTCTTGTTTAAATTTACAATATGAGGATCTTTCTTTGCAAGAGGTGGGAGATCAGCAAAATGATAGTGCAAGTAGTTGTAAAGTAAAAGAAAATTTCCCTTATTCATGAAGGGAGGAAGAATGTGAGCCAGTTAGAAGGGAAGTTGTGTGAAGCAAGATCTGCAGCCTTGTCTCTGTCAATCATACCTGATGCTTTAGTGTTGAATGAGACCTTATTGATACGGAATTAACTACAACAGATAAATTTAATAATTTGGCAGTAAAGGTAAGCAGAAGATTTTTTTGTTCAGCCCATTAGAACTCCTGTAAGTTGATACAAATTTTTGTAGGAACCATTGTATTTTTAAACAGTTGCAGCTTATTTTGCTTGAAAACCAGTTTAACAAAGAAACCAAATTGAGGAATTTCAGCCAAAACTTGTGAGGAGCAGGAAGAGGGTACTCTCAAGTAATTATTTAATTTTACTTAATGGATATTAAAACATTAACTTGTGAACTTTTAAACTTTGTGGAAAACCCATAATACCTTGGATTGGATTGCAGAAACAAGGAACTAACACTATCATTAGGAACTGTATCAATTTTTTAACATTAAAAAAGGTCTATTGTATTAAAACATGAAAGCACTGTGCACAGATACCATATTCTGTAGGGATACTTCTACAAATCTGTTTTATGTTAAGTGATTTATCTGTGCCTGAAAGATCCTTTTTATCTCCTTCCACTGATCTTCACTCGCCTTCTTCGTATTTTCTTTTTCTTGCTGAATGAAGTCTCTCCAAATTCAGGAGTTTCTCAATTTCTTCTATTTGGGTTTGCACAGTGGAGTTACAATTTGAACAGCTGTCCTCATCCCTCAGTGCACTTTCACTTGCTGGAGTTACAGTTGTGTGAGAAGACTTCTGCTCGTGCTGCAAGGCAGCAAATCTCATCTGACAGAACAAATTTAGCAGTTAATCCAGTGAAATTCAGGTACAAAGGTTCAGATTTTTGGATATTGGTGAGCATTAAGCAAGCAAGTAAAGGTGAACAGAGTTAGTTGGAAAAAATGTGTTTATTTTGAAGTGCTTGCTTCAGCTTTAATTTAGAAAAGTTGGTAATGACAAAGATAGATTTATACACCAAACCTTAACATAAGACTTGGTACAGAAGGGTGTGATTTAGAAAAAAAAAAAAAAGACCTTGTACTAGAATGCGATTAGCAAAATAAATAGTTTAATTAAACAGTTTAATGTTGCAATTGACATCTCTATTGCTATGCAAGCATTTGATTAACAAAACCCCAAATCATGAGGTTTATAGTGTTAACTCCCTCTGTGATTGCTGTATAGATTAGAAAGCAAACCTTATCAACTCTCACAGGGTTTGTAATAGGTCGGGGGTTTTATGTTAAAAATATTTCTGCTCTTTGAATGGTTTTAATACTTCATATCTGTCCAAATCAAGCACATCTCTCAACACAGTTTTTTGCTCACCCAGCTCCTCCTCCCAGGGAGGCCAGTGTGTAGCACCTGCCCCAGCACAGGTACACAACAAGCCATGTGACACAGAGCCAGCATTGTTCTGGCTCCTGGGGTTCTGTAATGTGACATCAAATACTTTGGTTGCTGGCTGGGCTAATGCTCTGAGAGGGATCACAAGCTAAGCCTTTCCTCCTCTGCTCAATTTTTCTAGTACTAGGGAACTGTGCCTGAGCCAGCCTGTAAGCCACAAAGTCTTTATCAGGCCTGCCTTTATTTTAGCACATGATTTTCATGCTAAAACTTTCCTCTGGTGGCACACAAGCATTTCTTGATGTTCAAAATATGAGCAATAAACTTTATGCAAATTGTTCACTTAGCCTATCTGTAGCAACATTACTGTCATGCAGCTGAGGACACTAATACTTCAGGGCAGTAACAACTATAATCACCATTTCAATGAGAAAATAACTTCTTTATTTTGAGCAATAATGTTTTCAACCTGTTAAATCTCCCATAGATTAGCAAAATAAATAGTTTAATTAAACAGTTTAATGTTGCAATTGACATCTCTATTGCTATGCAAGCATTTGATTAACAAAACCCCAAATCATGAGGTTTATAGTGTTAACTCCCTCTGTGATTGCTGTATAGATTAGAAAGCAAACCTTATCAACTCTCACAGGGTTTGTAATAGGTCGGGGGTTTTATGTTAAAAATATTTCTGCTCTTTGAATGGTTTTAATACTTCATATCTGTCCAAATCAAGCACATCTCTCAACACAGTTTTTTGCTCACCCAGCTCCTCCTCCCAGGGAGGCCAGTGTGTAGCACCTGCCCCAGCACAGGTACACAACAAGCCATGTGACACAGAGCCAGCATTGTTCTGGCTCCTGGGGTTCTGTAATGTGACATCAAATACTTTGGTTGCTGGCTGGGCTAATGCTCTGAGAGGGATCACAAGCTAAGCCTTTCCTCCTCTGCTCAATTTTTCTAGTACTAGGGAACTGTGCCTGAGCCAGCCTGTAAGCCACAAAGTCTTTATCAGGCCTGCCTTTATTTTAGCACATGATTTTCATGCTAAAACTTTCCTCTGGTGGCACACAAGCATTTCTTGATGTTCAAAATATGAGCAATAAACTTTATGCAAATTGTTCACTTAGCCTATCTGTAGCAACATTACTGTCATGCAGCTGAGGACACTAATACTTCAGGGCAGTAACAACTATAATCACCATTTCAATGAGAAAATAACTTCTTTATTTTGAGCAATAATGTTTTCAACCTGTTAAATCTCCCATGCTCTTTTCTAAGGCTTCTGAAAGACACAGATCATACTTCATTGCAAGCCACTAGTCAAAATCTCTGGAGTAGCACATATGGCTGCATCTCTCCTAATATTCCAAGAGAAAACCTTTCATTTTAGGTCTTCCACGTGTGGAAGTGAAATTTTCCGGTAAAATAAACCCACGCCCTGTTAGTTGGGTTTTACTGAAGACAACAAGCATTAGACCTCTTTGGAGAAATAATCGTAGTTGTGTAACATACATAGAATTTTTATACAGTTCTGTGATGGAGGGTTTAGAATAAAGCTTAAAAATATAACCTCAACTCTCAAACTAAAAGGCCTCAGCATTTTCATGATAAAATACAAGTAAAATGTGTCTTATTGTCATTGCATCCTATGGGACACACATGAAAAAACACTCATTATTGAATAGTATGACTGCATGTTAGGGACTTAAGTTTAAACTGAGCTGAGGATGCTTATTCATCCTTTCCTTGGTACTCGGGCATGCAGAGACTGATCTTCAAAACAGGTCTTCATAGTTATACTAGAATTTTAAGTGCACCCCTAGGATTTATTTTTAATTTTTATCATTTTTAGAGTAAATTGTTTGAATGAAACTGCCCAAATTGTAGAGAGCATAATAGTTCTGCTCTAGTTATAATCACACATGTTGAATCAAAAAAAGAAACTGAGCAGCAAAAAAAAGACTGTTGAGCCTATTTTTAATCTCCCAGCAGCTTTTTCATATCGGTCATAAAAACGACAAATTTGAGAACAGAAGGTATTAGAAGGACACCAACACAGAAGGGAGGGGAATGGTCTGCAATATCCCAGACTGAGATTTCCTAGATTAAGTATTTGGAAAATAATCTAAGGTCAAAGCAGCCAGGCACTCTGATCTTGTCCATCTCAGCTTTTACTCAGCTAGCACATAAGGACCTTTAGTTTGGAGGTGACAAAGCAGATATAATCACAATCAGATAATGCAATACAGCCTTGTATTAGCTGTAGATTAGGTATTTTAGTTTTCTCAATCCCTGGCTCCATATAAGTGAGAAAACGCACAGTAAATATCACCACTATGTGTGGTGAAAAAATGCATCTAATTGCATTCCCAAGTAGAGTCATGTGAGGTAAGCTGAGCAATTAAAACATCAGTCTTTGCTTCTGAATTTCAGAGAATCTGAATGCTAATGGCATTGACAGCTCATTAGTCCACTCAAGTCTGCCAGATTTGTCACTTGAAAACATTATACACCCTGACCTCAAAGCTCATCCAAAAAAAGACAGGCAGAACTACCTGAGAAATACCTCTAGTACCTCTTCTAAAAAGGGAGGTCATTACAGCTCTCAATCATTGTATCACTTTTGAAGAGCATGTTTAGCATTAGGTCAAGTCAAGCTCCACAGTATAACATAGATCTAAAAATGGAGGATAAGCTATTGCTAGAGCATTCCTAAATGAAGCTGTCTTGCAGGGAAACTGTAGGTTTAATTCTCTGCTCTTACACATTTGTGTAATGTCATCCTACTAAATAAGATAGCTTCAAATATGGCACCACATCACTGCAGCATAGAATAAACAGGCTGTAATTCATAGATCTGGTGAATTTTCAGTCCTTCACTGATTCTTTCAAATAACATGTTCCTATCAAGTAATAATGGAAACAATGTTTTTATACTTTGACATGTTACTTTTTTTTCTTTCCCTTTTTTTTTTACCCTCTACTTTTACTGTAGGTGATGATTTTTATTAGGGTACACAATGAACTACCCTCTTCCTCCCCTCCCAAACAGACTGGTTAGCATCTGTTTGATTCATATGCTGTGACTTTTTCCTGCTGCTTTCTATCAACCTTAATTGTGAAAAATGGTGCCTTGTTGCCCTTTTGATATTATTTTGTAGATTGACTCAGTCTTAAAGTATCCAGATGCTTACAGTTGTACAAATATCTGTGGAATTAGCTCACTGAGGTCTGGTCCGCAATATTTTTAATTGACTTACATGTTCTGTGGGAAAAGAAGAATCATAAAAAGTCTTTGCTGTAGCATTCCATTCTTCACCAGGGTCTCCCTGGGGGTCTGGTTGGATACTAGAGGTATTCAACGTGTCGGCAGCTCTGTTAAAACTGGTGAAACCTGATTGACAAAAAGGAAATGGTAATAACTGCAATTTAGTCTCAAGGCACTAATTGTTAAGTAACTAAACTTCTCGTTTACCTCTGATCTTAAAAATCACGTCTTTCTGTTTTAAGCCACTGAAACTCTGTTATAGGCTTTTCCCTCTTCATTTTTTTCCTTTCACATAGTTCATCTATTTTGCCTCTAAAGATACGTTTCTACTCTGATTTAAAATGGTTTATATAATTTTCAAATATTAATGAAAAATTAAAATTGTGATTTATAGAAAGTGTATGGATTCTGAATATTCTAAATGGATTTTTTTTTTTTAACAGTGTTACTGAAAGACTCACCTTCTGGTAATGATAAAATACATTAGTATTGCCATCCTGACGTGATATTCCAAGGTAGCTTGTAATAAAAAAGATAGGCTAAATACAAATTTTTTTAGACAATAAATAAGGAGTCTTTTTGTAAATGGCTATACCCACTCTTTCAGGAAATCAAGCTATAGCTATCTAGTAAAGGTAGGAAAGGCAAATAAGTACATTAGCCACAGTAGACTACAATGCTCCAATCTCACAATGGCTTTATGCACTGCTAGCAGACTGCTCAAACCAGCATCAAGTTCCTTGCAAGATCAAAACACAACTGTACTTTCACAGCAGCTCATAATGCAAACAGGAGCTGTTTTGTCATGACACAGACTGCTAGAATGGTAAAATCTTTGTTTCGCTCTGAAAAGACATGTTTCCTCATGGTTATTTAACAGTTAACTCAGAACACTTGCCCATGCTCAGTTCATTCCTCCACTTTGTGATGTGGAGTGTTGTACAAATAGTCAATTTCATTGTGGTAAGGAGTTCAAGGAGTTCCCTCAGATAAACACTTTCACCAATGCTCTTCACCCCTGGGTCTCCCAAATGGCTAAACTGTGCTTCAGGAAGTTAAAAAATAAGAATAAAAATTAAAATTTAGGAACACTGTCCACATGGATCTCACTCCAGGTTTGCCATTTGGGAAAATGTCTGAAAATGAAACAACAAAAACCAACCACAACAAATCTTGGAAGTTGTAGTGCTAAGTACCACAATGGCTTATGGTGCCCTGACAATAAGGTTCTCTCTACTCTCCAAAAGAGCTGCAGGATTCAGAGGGGAAGCTGAAGTAGGCACCCTACTTATATTATCTTTTACTATGTTCAGTTACTGAAGTAGAGAAATAGCTGCAAAGGAACTGAAGTCAATTTACTGTGGATATACAGATGATGCTTTTATGACTTTGGTAAAAGATTGAGTTTAAAAATGGCGCTTTTAGTAAATAAATATAGGGGTAACCTAGCAGCTGGTTTTATTGCAAAACAAATATAAAATACATTTTTCCACATTTCAGTAATGATTTAGAAACATGCAGAGTAAAGTTCATATTTACTGTGTTCATATTTCACGTGTGTAAAGTATTGCTCAGCAAATAATCACTGTCACCAGTAGAGGATGAAAAAGCTTCTTGAGCACTCGTAGCAGCTAGATGTGTTTTCCAGAGCTTCAAAGCACATTATAAACTTCTCCTTTCACACAGTCAACATATTCAGATGGTTTTACATGTTCATCTGAATTAAAGATCAGAGAATCAGAAAATCATAGAACACCAGGTAGGAAGGGACCTCAAGGATCATCTGAGCCAACATTTTTAGGTACTACTCTAGTTTATATGAGATGGCTCAGCACCCTGTCAAGCTGAGACTTAAAACTATCCAATGTGGGGGGATCTGCCACTTCCCCAAGAGACTACTCCAATGTTTGATTGTCCTCATGGTGAAAAGTTTACTTGTGTCCAATCAGAATCTCCCCAGGAGCAACTTGTGCCCATTACCCCTTGTCTTTTCCATGTAACTTCTTGTAAATAAAGATAGTAAGATAAAATAAATAAGAGGAAGCCTTCTCTAAGCCCCATTTAAGGGTTCAAAACCTGATTTTTATGCAAAACAAGGGCACTGAATAACTTCCAAGAAGTTGCTTTTAAGATATATGCAGAGCTCTGATGAAGTATGCTGTACAGCAGGGTTAGAAATGCCTATATCAAATTCAGTTTGTCATTGCACTGTTTTTCTTTCACAAAGGGAAATATGAGAAAGAATGTATGTATATATATAATTGAGCAAATAAAAGCTGTTTAGTTGCATTTGTACTATAAATTAATGGGGAAATATCATCTTTCAATTATATTAATTTTTTTTTTTGCCATGTAACTAAAATGTCAGAAGGCTTGTATTTCTCTATTGCTATGCTAAATACACTTAGATGCAGAAATTTCACATTTTGATAACATTTCTAAGTACATTTAGTACACACTTCAAAACAGAAATGCTTGCTTTTCTTACCTACTCCTGTTTCTCTTCGGTCAACATTTTCAGTGATGTTTTGACACTGTAGTTTTGAAACAACCTCTGTGTTTTCCACTAAGCATGGTAGTTTCAAAAGGGAAGGTTCTTTGGAAGCTGAAGTCCATGTAGCTTGACCTCTCATTTGATTTACTTTTGAACAAGAACTGGAGAGTAAAAAATTTAAGTATACTGGAGTTTTCTCAGCTTTTTTATCTGAGGTTGAAAGATCAAAGGATGACCTTCCACTTATGTTTACTAAATTTCCAGATGTTCTCATGGCTAAAGAGCATGATTCTTTCAGGTGACCCTCAGCAAACTTCCTTCCTGGAACTGTACTATTCAGCAAGTCTTTTTTCTCTTTAAATGATGTGTTACTTGTTGAATTATTAATCTCCAGGGAAAGTCCATTTTTTATGGAGTGTATCTGAATATCATAATTAACTTTTTTACATGTAATTAATTTATCTGTACTAATATTTTCTGTTGGGGGTTTTGCATGAGCATTTTTTTCAAGACCATCAGCCTTTACTAGAGAAATGGCATCAGCCTTCAAAGTGTCTGTATTTGTAGCATTCCCTGCTTGTTCAGTACTCTCTTGTTCTGGCTGCTGGCTGCACGTGTCATCCATGTTTATTCCTCTTTCTATTTTGGAGGAGCATAAATTGAAAGTATCCAAGAGAGAAATATTATCACTGTGTTCTTTTGTGGCATCATCACTGATTATTGCATTATCACAATACACTGTTGGTAGATTTTGTGCATCAGCTGCTGGAACACCAGTACTCCTTAGTGCACCATTGCTGGTTACATTTCTGGCATTGTCATGATGGTTTCTGTCTTCAGCATCTGCCTGTGTCTGTTTAAAAGGAAGCTCATCTCTAAGTAGACCACTCAGATTTAACAAGGTTTTTTCTGTTTTATGTAATCCATTGCCTACACTATCCAGCAAGCTACATTTTTGGTATTCTGCTTGAGTATTTTCTTTAATGTAAGATGGGATGCCAAAACTTAATTCCTTAACTTGATGATTATCTGCAGTTCTCTCACACACAGTGTTCTCACTGCAAAGAACCACTACAGACTTGGGTTTGGGTGCTTCAGGTGTAAGGATACTTTTGGTGCGTTGCATGGCATTCGATTTCTTATCTGCCTTAGGACAAATTGATTCATCTGCATTATTGCACAGTTCTTCCTTGCTGGAGTCAGTTTCATGACTTTCATTTTTCTTGTAGGCACCTACAGTGCCCTTAGTGTCTAGAAAGACCTTTCTGGTTTCTGTGTGGCATGTTGCCAATGGCTCAGTGCTGTCCTGTACCTGTTGTTCTAAATTTGCATCGTTTTCCTCCAGTAATGTTGTATGTGTTGCTCCTAGATTTTCTGCTTCTTTGCACTCGGTGACATGTATTTCTGAGGTCTGTCCTTGGGTAATTAAATCAGTATCTGTGCAGAGGGTGTTCCTGGGAGAAGCCTCCCTTTGCTTTTCTTCATAAGGGCTGGCAACATTAATTTCATCCTTAAAACTGTTTTCAAGAACTTGTAAATCTATCAAAGTAATGCAGAGGTTAAGAAGCTTTATGTTTACAGTTTACAATTTCCAAAGAGACAGACTCAAGATGAGTTTCAATACTGATGTTTTCTTATATTACACACACAAGTCTTAAAAAGTTATGGAAGTATTGTATTATGGTAACTTATAAATACTTTATAAATATTCTGCAAAGTATATTACTATTCTGTAGATTTTAGATAAGGCTTATAAGTGGGAATATTTCCCAGCTGATATTGGTCTTATTATTGAGAGGGGATTTTCATGATGAAATAATAATATACGATTAATCAACCAATGTGTGTCTATGTAAGATTTAAGCCACTGGTTCCTACTAAACTGTAACTGTCTTTATTTTTGGAAGTGGCATTTTTAGCTAAATGGAAAAGAAACCCAGACAAAACTGTTTAAGAGACTCTAGTATTACCAAAAGGAACATGCTATGACTTGATGGTAGTTGGGCCAGTGAGGAATAACAAACATTTCCATAACAGAAAGGTGTTTTCTGAAAGATACATTCAAAGGCTGCAAACATTGATCTTTAAAGCAGTCACTTTGCAGTTAATAACCTTTTGAATTTCCACTTCTCTTTGCTACATTTTAGTGAGGATGGGGCCAGAGCACACAAATTTCACTTTATGGCCCAGGGCAGCCACTGGAAGTTCTGTGCCTTCCTTCAGAGCTCTGTGAATTTATCACAGATACCACCAGTGACACCAAGAATATTACTGTTGTTAGTGAAAAAACATTTCAGTTGGGATTCAAGCATTCTCTTGTCATATACTGGATCTGTAAACATTTATCCTTTCTTCAACAACACTACTCATCTCTACTATCCATGTAATGTTATTACTTTGTTCTATCTGTTGTTCCTCAGTACTTAAAGAGCAGTCCACTGGTTTTTTTACTTCAGTTTCTTCTTCATGTCCAAAATGACCATCTTGTCTTATAGATTGCATACACTCCTTTTCTTTCTGAACAGCCTGTATTTCACTGTCCTTTAAGTGTTCTTGACCACTCTAGCATAATAAGGGACAAAATATTATACATATTTTAATAATTTACTACAGTCACTGATTAGATTTAAAGTTCAGGACTTAGGTTCAAAATTATTTTCATATTTCTGATGGGAATCACCTGAAGAATACAAAGTTAATTTAAATGGAGAAAAAAGCAGACTAATGCCCTAGAAGAGTAAGAAAGATATTATGTCCTGCTATATTACAGTCCACAAAGAAAAGTTATACATATTGACAGAATTTCTCAGATGACGAAATAGATGGTGTACATATGCTCACTGGGTCCCTCCCTCTGTCTACTGGCTAAATCAGTGACCTGCTCAGTAATTACATGCAGAAAAAAGCTGCATTATTGTTCTTTACACTCACACACATGCATACACACATATTAAGACTTTTATTTTTCTAACATACACACATATTAAGACTATTATTTTTCTAACATACCACCTAGGATTTTTAACTGTGTTTCATAGGCAAATAAGGATTATTGAATTTGCACTTCCTATCAGTCAGTTCCTCATTTCCTTCTAGATGTTTTTTTTAACCTGAACTTTAGTCAAATTCAACAGGAGTGAAAGCCTGAAAGATGTGTCTGAAGTTTTAAATCACTGGTCTACTGCTGCAGCTGTACTCGTCTTTATTTTTGAAAGCTTCATTTAACAAAGTTCTGTGGAAACTAGGAGCTGAATAATTAAATTAATAATACCCTAGTAGGTAGATTTGGGAAGGAGCAGGGGTGTTGCTTTATCTGTAAAAGATGTAAGAAAATGCTGAAGATACTTGGGTGACTGGAAGTGTTGCAAAAAGAAGACTGGGATGTGGGAGCAGTTACAAGTGCTGTGCTTGGGCTTTAGATGTGGGGAGGACAGAGGAGCAAAATGGAGGGAAGGTAAAATGGAGGGAAGGTAGACAACACTGGTAAAAAAATGGGATTATTGCAATGATGACATAGTAGATGATGTAGAACACAAATCTGCAGGAACCAATTTCTACAGGTTACAGAAACATCCTGATGCTCCCAGCTTTGCTGAATTGAGAGGGAGAACTCATGGTAAATGGAGGACTCATGGTAAATGGAGGAGGGTCCTAAACATAGTATGGCAAATACTCCACCTTCAATTTGAAGTTTCAATTTAAATTGCTTTCTATTTTCCCATGTTTTATTATCTTCTTCCCTGTCATTCTGATTTGGAAATAGTAAATATTGCAACATACATATATTAATTTTTAATTACTCAATTTTGCTTCTTGGCTATATGCAGCCTCAGCATCATATTTTCAAATGCAAATACTAGAAATCTCCTTTTTCTTTCATGAAAGCTGTAGTTCTTTTATAACGTCTTTGCTTCTAGGAGCTGTTTCTTTAGACAGAAACACCAAACAACACAATATCACCATGCATGTTACTCCTTTGTGTAGGAATAAAACAGCTACTACAGTGGAACTTACCATATTTGTTAGTATGGGCTGAACTGCTGAATTCACCTGAAACAAACATGAAGTGTTCTTAGAAAAGGAGAAAGGTTACACGATTCCTTTCCAGATTCTTAGATGAGTTGAATAAATCTAGTATCCATTAATTTCAAATGCCTGTTCAATCCTTCAAAAAGAGGTCCCAGATGCATAAACTAAAATGCCTACCTATCAAAACTGTTAAACCTAGATTTAATTTTTTCCTGTTATCTAAGCAACATACATATACCTAAGATGACCTTTCCTTTAACTTCACACTATAAAATGCAAAACCTCCTCAAAACCAGTTCTTTTTCTACATACACACAAAAAATTACAATAACCCCTTCCTAGATGGAGTCCTATTCTTTAATGCTACACAGCTGTATCACAAATTATATTGAACTAAACGCAAAGCATGGTAAAGTTAACCTAAATTGCAGTTTGAGTCTAATGAGGTCTGACATTGCACCTTTCTTTTTAAAAAGGCCTCTTGTTTAAGCACTGTTCCACAAGTGATCAGTATGAAGAAGTGTACATACACACTAAATTTCACACCCCACAAAGAATCACAGGGATTTCAGATTGCACTAGATGAAAAAAATAAATATATTTGCATATATCCTTGCAACACTTGGAGCTGTAGCCAAGATCTAAATCACAGCCAGCACCTCACCCTTTTCTGTTTTAGTAGACACTGACTCATTACTGATACAAAGTGCAATTCCACGAATTAGAATAATCAATATGATCTGCTGCATTTCCTGTAATTTCTTGACAGTGTTCCACTGGAGATTTGACCTGCCTAGGTTTTGAAACAAAGTGGTATGGCAATTTGCCGTAAGATAGTGTAAGATATATATTTAGAAGACATCTCAGATTTTTAAATTTTAAATTTTTTTGCATTTTTGAGCATATGCTTTTATCTTATCTACTTTCAAACCCGTAAGGGTTATCTCAGTAAGCACAGGTACTGTTTATCATTAACAGCTGATTGTGTGCGTTGTTTCTGCATCCTAAACAAAATGGATATTAAAAAGTAATTGTTTTTTGAATGAAAATTAGAAGTTCCACAATTTGCATTATACCTTGTAGATTTTGTACAACTTTGGTATTTCAAGTTTAATTTCCACTGCATTATTCAGCACATACCAGGAAATATGTGTATGTACTCATATACATGTATATATATGTGAGCTATAAACAGACATACTGGCATTGTGAAGAAATTTAAGTTCTTCCAAATTCTGAAATGTTATTATGGTTTGTCATTTTACTGACAATTCATAAACTAGTTCAAAAAAATAATGTCTTTACAGTCCCAGTGTCTTCCTACTTTCTTAACACTGAAAGCAAAATCATAGACATACAAAATGTGTTTTCCCTTCTTTGAAGGATAATTCATTATTTGGATATAAAAACTAATGAAAAACATTATATAACCAATACTCAATGACCAAGAGAACACACTCAAAGTGCAGGGAAGGGTTTTCTTATGGCTTTTATGACTATTTCCATTTTTTCAATCTTATAAAAAACTGGAATATAAATTTGCAATCCAATTTAAGTAAGGGGTAACACGTAGCTGTGGGGCTACACGCTCGTCCTCTTGCTCCACAAGACCACACTCATGTGCTTCATCCCTTGTTGACTTCTCTTCTGTGCTCTGAATATAGAGCTGAATGTGGATTTGGTTCACCCAGCAACACAAGCTCACTTGTAGTTCAACCTGCACTGCATAAAACAGCCTTTTACCTCCTGCATTCATTACCTGTTCAGCTTGCTATGCCTTTCATGATTCTTAAAGATGATAAGTGAAATAAAGGTAGGGGTTTTTTAAACTAAAAGTGAAGAACTTGGATAATCTATATGTTTATCAAATAATCTTTTGATCTCTCTGAAATTATTTCCTCTGAATAGAAGTGGACTTGTTGCCACACTTCCAATGAACTTACTTACATATGAAATCAATGTGTCTCCCACAGTAGTTGAGAAATAGCTATGGAAAATATGGTTGTGAAATAGGGTTTAGTACAGATAGATTGCTATTATGTATGACTTTATTAATGAGGTAATGAACATCTCAAGATTCTAAGATATTAGTACCCCTCTGGATGAAAGGAGAACATTCTCTGGGTACAGCAGGTTTTAATGGGATCTTAGATCATTGATTAAATTAGATAAATTCTTAGGTTTAGCAATGTAAAGGAAGACCAGTGGACCTGACAGTCATATTAGGAAAACTGTCATGTCTCTCATTCTCTAATATTTTGACAAGAAATTGAAAGTACTGCATCTATTAAAGACAGTTACCTTAAGATTTTCCACTTGCTCAGAAGGCTGATTTCCCTGAGGAGGATGATGATCTTCAAGAAGTCTATGAACTCCTTTAAGAGAATTCAGCTCATTTTTAATAGTGTCTATTTCTTTTCTCATGTTTTCCTCCTGTAATAATTGAGGGTACAATGAGAACACAAATACAGATCTCTACTGCTTGTTTAATATATGAAACAGTATTTTACAATGGTATCATCAGCTTAGCAAATTTAAGTAAATCCTGAAGAGAAAGTATAGATATGCTAAGGAATTTCTTTGTACAAAGTAAGATAATTTTGAGCTCTTTCATTCAAACCAAAATTTTAACCACATTTCCATTACAGACAATACCTTTAATCAATTATGTTTTTTCACCATATGCTTCAAATAGCAAGGCTTAAAAAAGTAAGATTAATATTTGTAGCCTTCTTTCTTTTTTGCCTCCAAGATAAACATGCTAGTCAAAATTCATTCTCTACCTACATTGTCAAGAAACTAAAACAACAAATAATTTGCTTGGCACTTCTGTAAATAGCCTCAAGTATCCAGTGCTTCTTCAGTCAGTATGTAACAATTACATTTTTGTATCTAGAACAAAAAGGATGTAAAAAATACAAGTTGTAAAAAGAAGAGAAGGACAATGTTACAGAAATACCTCTATTTCATTTACAAATATTTCCAGAGCAGTGTGAAATGTCATCATTATCCATGATGGCACTATCTGAGATACTGAGACCAAATGTCTACTTAGCCATAGCTGAAATACGCAGACGGGGGGGAAAAAAAATAATAATAAAAATCTTCTAAAGAATAGTTGCAAATATTCCTGAGAAATAAGCAGGACCAATTCTCATGCCTATACAGGAAACTATGGTGTAAGAGTCTCCTAGGAATCAGGAAGATCAAATCTTTCTGGCAGTAGGTGCCAATTATGTACAAATAAAAAAAGACAGGTTATTCAATGAATTCCACTTAGAGTCCAGGTTCCATACACTTAATTGATCCTGTCTTCCTGAAGAAGCATTAATCTTTCTTACTTGCAAATATACATCCATTATTCCAGACAATTTTCACAGCTACAATATTTTGCTAATTATTTTGGATTAAATAATTATTGAATAATTATTCTTAAAAAATACTAATTAGTAAAAAGAATGGCAAATATTGATGACAGATTATTGTTAGGTGTACACAGAGGGGAATCCACTGAGAGGACATACAGGTTTTTACATTTCTTATCCCCTTTCACCCTATGTTGAACAATTGGTGTCAAATCAGGATCTCTGCTTTAATTCAAGCTTTCAGTATCTGTGTGATTCAGTCTGAGGTTGCTTTTTTTTTTCTGGGCATATGGACCATAAGAAGTGTCTTTATAGTCTGTGTCTATGTAGGTTTGCATTAATTTGTTACTATATGAGAGTTTACTGATAGGGTTTTTTTCAGGGTTCAAGTGTTCAGCCTAGAAATGCTGGTAGTCTCTGAGTAAGTTGTCTAAAAAAAAATATGCAAATTTTCTGAAAAAATACATTGCATTCAATATATACAAGCTTTCTTTATCATCTGTGTGATTCAGTCTGAGGTTGCTTTTTTTTTTCTGGGCATATGGACCATAAGAAGTGTCTTTATAGTCTGTGTCTATGTAGGTTTGCATTAATTTGTTACTATATGAGAGTTTACTGATAGGGTTTTTTTCAGGGTTCAAGTGTTCAGCCTAGAAATGCTGGTAGTCTCTGAGTAAGTTGTCTAAAAAAAAATATGCAAATTTTCTGAAAAAATACATTGCATTCAATATATATTAAAAACTATATCAAGCTTCCATATCTAGGTAATAGTGAGTGTGTGATTCTGGAATATTTTCAAGTGCTGAATTCAAGATAAACACATAATAATACCCTGGCTCTTGCTCTATAGAATTTCAGGACCTTTTAGAGCACAGAAATAAAGATTTCTCCTAAATCTACATTTTAAAGTACTAATTTCTAGAAGAGACTGCATTATTGGAAAGTAAATTTGTTTGGTTTATTGTATTATTTCTGCAATATTTTCTTGGCTTTTAGGAATTACCTGAAATTTTTGATGACTACTTAAAAAACCTTTTAATACTTTAACATTTAATTTAATAAACCTACATTTTTTTTCCAAGTCCTTAGTGCTTTTGCATGCTCATTCTGAAGATTAAGGAACTTTTCTTCATTTTCCTTTGCCTTCTCCCTTTGCAGCTCATTATCTCTTTCAAGGGTCTGCAATAAAATTAATTATCCAAAAAACAATCAATACTGCATTAATGAATTTTGATGTGTTTTATGTTGCTTGGACCTTTGCTTCTAACATGCTGGAAGTGCCATACAGATCAGTGATAATGTGCTATCTCAACAATAATTTTCATAAATTAACAGAAAGGTGCTTATAGTTTAGCTAACAGGAAACAGGGGGAGGTTATGAAAAAAGAAATGGCTATAAAAGGGTATAAAAACACTTGCCATTATTCAGTTTCACTGCATAAGTTTTAATGTGCTGAAAAAGTAATATAAAGTCCAGAGATGAGAAATATGAAATGTAGCACAATCTAGACCCACTGTACTTAGAGAAAAAACTGCTGTATAATGAAAGAAAATATTTTTATTTTTCTGATCAGTTTTTCTGTCCCAAGTTGTTTATTAACCAATTTTATAGATTGCATAAACTTTAAATTCTAAAATACCTCTACTGGAACATGAGGTATATATCTGATTATCTTGAATTTACTTTTATGAGATCACTGACATAGGAATGCATTAAAATAACAAGAATATTAAGTTTTACACTACCATAATTATACTTGCAACATTTTTGGGTTAACCCATTCAGCTTTTCTGTGCTAAATTAAAGCAGTCTTGTGTAAATCAACAGTAGTTTCAAACACGTCAGGTACTGCTGGAATTTTTATAGAAATCAGTCTGGAAGATAAAGGATTTACTGCACTATATAGATGACACAAATATTTTTGAGAAAGTAAACATAACTTTAATGCATGTAGCTGCATGACCAGCTATATATTTATGACTACTGAGCTTCTTGGAAAGTCCACTTGAAAAATGTGAAGATATGGAGGCAATACTCCAAAACAATTCCTTTTTACTTAATCTTTTAACTAAAAATTAATCTACTTCTAGAATCACTTAGCATCAGTTTTAAAATGCCTATGTTATTTTAGCTACACAGGTAACACAAATATATTTTACATCTATTAACACTAGGATAATTCAGAGTACATTGCAATTATTATACACATGGAAAAAGCTGTGCATAAGAATATAATGGATTTTGTCTGACAGGTCATGTAATTAAAAAGATGAGACAATTCAACATTGCATTGTCTGAATAATCACACTCTAATGTGGCACCTTTCATCCAGTACTATAAACTAGGAGCCCAAGACCTCCTCTTTAATTCCAAGGATTCTTGATTTGTGTCTCAAATGCAGCCTCCCCTGAGATGGAATATAATAGTTATTGACAGCATAGCTTTTAGGGCAAAATACCAGGAATAGCAGATGAATAGAACTGGTTAGATAGTAAAGCCAATTGTACAGAGAGGGAAAAATCTGAATTCCTTGCATTCTCAAGTATTTTGTGACCCTTTAAAGAATTATAACTTGTTTTTCTGGACTCTTGAGGACACTGGTATCCTAGCATTAAGCATGTGTGGATAGAATGAGAAAGGACAGTGTGCATCTTCTTGAGTGTTACCTTGCAAGTTTAAATATCATCAGCTCAAGCCCCCAAACAAGCAATAATTTATTGTGAGTATAAGAATAAAAATATTTTCATGGGACTGTACAATCCTCCTTCCTCTTTTCTACTATTCTGAAGAGACTCTTTATTGATGAGCAAGGTCCACAAATTCAACAGGGATGTAGAATAGGACATAGGAATAGCATATGACCTTCAGACCCCATTCAGCATATTGTGGCTCTAGAATCAATAAAACCAAAAGCAATAGCTCTCAAACTGGTAGGGAAGTTTGTCGACCCTTCACCTTATGTATTCAGCTTTAAAAAAAAGGCACTGCAAAATATGCAGCTAACTGGAATATCCCAGAAATTTTATCAAACTATCAGCCAAATTAATAGCTATAAAATATTTTATGACTACTGTTTAAACAGACAGACAAACATTTCTGACAGATCAAAATAACCCCATGAGTTCATATGGGAAGAATAAGAACACATGCCATTCACTTTTAAAATAATATTGTCTTTATATCATGTTGTTTAAGGGCAACACTGTTTCCAGATGTGTTATCTTGAAAGCTTACCACTTGTATGTGCTTATATAATGGTATGAATCCTTTAATTCCCATTCTCAGGTGAGAACATCTTGGTTTTGATAATGTACAGAATGCCCTCACAAAATTCCACTGGGATAAAATCTTAGCTGGCCTTAAGTGCCACAGTGAAGACTAAAAAGGAATATTGGCATTAAACTAAGTACTGAGGAGTCTTTGTGTAGTCAACAGAGCTTCCAGAGGTTAAATGAAGAGCCCCCTATTAGTTACCCATGTCTTGTAACAGCAATTTCATCTAAAGTACTTATGCCTCCAAGAAATTACCTTTGAAGACTACACTTAAGCTTTGATGACTAGAAATGTTTTGTCCTGAAGTTAGGAAAATAGAAATTAATATCTTTCCAATATCTAATATTAACAGCACCCAAATCAAAGCAGGCTCTCTAATTGGTGTTAGTATAATTGCAATCAGAAATCAATTGTTGGCCAGTACAGGCTTCAAAACAGACTTGTTCTCAATTCATACCTTAGCAACAAGAAAGGAAGCTATACTTTTCTTACACTTGTATTATGGAAGTAATCATCAGTAAGGTTATATATCGATCAAATAATCTCGAGCCTCTGGTTTAATTTACAAAGTAATTTTGAACCACCTTAAAAATGGTATGACTAGCAAGTAGTGCAGATGTTTCACTGGACCAAACATATAAAGAGCTGAGGATACAGAAAATCATGCTACTTTAGGCAATTCTACAGCCTAGGGACTGTTAAATTAATCTTCGCAGAAAGTTTCAAAAGTGCTAAGAAAAACACACAACTTTTCCCATTACACTGTACTTTGTCATTTTATTTTTTTTTTTAAACAGAGTCAATATACAAAAAAGGAATGAGAGAATTCTTAAGATTCATAATTAACTTGAAAGAATGTTCTTCAGGTTGAGAAGCATCTCTTCTTGGTTCTATGGTACTCTGAGACCAATTAACTTGAAAATCATGGTCATGAAAATCCAACACTCAAAGACTAATATAAAAATGGAAACCTGACATGTGTCAATCTGACTCCTAATGTACTTTAGAGTCTAAACTCTTCTGAGCCACTTGTACAGGCTCAAAGAGGAGCTGAAGAATTCTGCAACTCCACAGTCTCCAGCATGACTAGTTACCACCTCTAGCATAACTATGACACCAGCCAACACAGCAAGAAGTGGCAAAGGATATTCTCTTTCTCAGGCCCTCTGCTCTTGTAAAACTGGGGACAAGCTCTGGCTATGAAGATCTGAAATTTGAAGTTTTTTCTAGGAAAGAAATGTATACCTATATGAAAATTATAAGAAACAAAATTCATAAAATAACTGTATTTCCAAACACTTCAATGCAACCTCCCAATGTGTCCTGTTTTTACCCTCCAGAAACGGCTGATAAGAATGGCAATCATGATTTACTTTAGCTGGAGAACTAAAAGAGGGAAACCACAGACTGCACTTCAAGGTTCATGCTGACAGTTAAGGAGCTGAGGGAGCAATGGAAGTGAGGTCAAAAGTTCTGAAAAGCATACAGATGTCTTTAACAGCCCTGGACTTAAAAAAATACATAATAGATAGTAGCAGCTTGTCTAATCAAGAAAAATCTGACCTGATAGTCTTCTTTCAGTGCATTTAATTCACTTTCCATTCTAACATTCGTTTGGGTTGTTCTCTGAAGCAGCTCCTGCACACATTGTAGAGAGCTGAGAATTTCCTTATTAATACAAAGAAATTAGGATACATTGAATAAGATTTTTGTTTCTGAAGTTAAAACATTAGCTAATGTTTGCCTTATGAATTAACATATTTATTTCTTATTCTACCAGTGTTTACAAAATAATGTACATAAAAATGTACTTTAACATCAGCATTGGAGAAGGGAAGAATTCAGAACAACTCCAGGTTTTTCTAGCCTATTGCCTTGGAAAGGAAAACATTATTTTTCAGAGAATTTTCTTATAATTAAAATGAACAATCCATCAATATTCAACATACTTCAGTGCAACTCTGAGTAAAATATATAACATCTAACCCCACTGTGAGTTTAATTAATCTAACAGAATAATTTTATGTTACCATGTTACAGTTCTGGAAAATGTGGAAAATCCTAGAGAAATTATATGACAGGCAAGTAATCACTTCCATTAATGGATCATCCTAATGTAACATTATTCTGTATCTCTTGAATAAAATCCTGATAATGTGAACTACCACACATCAACTTTGCACCATATGGTGCAAATAGACCAGATTTTGCTGTCACTGTCAGTATTTTTGTGGTGCTCTCACCAAGACTGTATCGTTACTTCAAGAAGAGTAAGTTCTAAAAAAAGAGCCACCCAAAATGAGTTGATTAAGGTGGTATAAAGATTTACAAACCTGGGGCTGCCACAAAGATTGTTGCAGTTAGCTGAAAACATGAATGGAGTTGAGACAATAATTTTATATTAGATACTACAGAACACATTTCCAAAGGTTTAAGACAGAGGGAATGACCTAGTCAAGTCCATGTCTACTCCCTAAAGACCAGAACAATAGTTACTACAAGAAGACCTGAAGAGAGAAAAGGCCTGTTTCAGGCAGAAGACAGTCGTAAATGTGCTAAGTTGCTTCAAAGTACATTGAGAGAGGAATATATGATTTTTAAAAAGTACTTCCATATGCTTGCAAAAAGCTTTCAAGTGTGTCTATTTTTGGTTCTATTGTATACATGGATACAGCTACCTACTAAACGTAAATTTATTATTTTGGGTGTATTCTCATTCCTTTCCCTGCTTGGATTCTCTCATGAAGAAATTAATACATTTTTGTACTGAAGCTTAATTTACCTTTAACTCATTTTCACATATAGACACCTGAAGAACAGAGATGTGGAAAGGCTTGCACAGTGCCATCTGATAGGTTGGCAGCAGACTTGTTCATGTCTTTTAAATCTAGTAGAGTGTTCACTCAACTAGACAAGATTGCTTCTCTACATACAGTTCAGAGTAATTCAGCTATAATTTAGATACTATTTTCAGCTTCCATCCAAGAGCTACTGAAGCCAGTATCTTGAGTTAATCCAGATAGTGAATTTCTAGTGCTCTATAATATGGAAATCCAGGTCTTCTAACCCAAGTTCTTGGAGAAAGCATCTCTATATTAGAGCCCTCCCCAGATTTATACCAAAACATGCCATATTTTAAAAGCAACAAACCAACAATTAACAAACCACACAGAACAAAACAGAGAAACAAAATAGAGTCCTTTTCTTAAATAATACATATCAAATATGCATATGAATTATGCTTCAAGCATCTCCATATAAATCCTTTTATTTAATTCAGAGCTGTGGGAGTAATGAGGCCTGAGTATGTGTCTCATTTTTGTCCTTTGTTTATTGGCAAGTATTTTTAGAAAGCAAACCTAAAATGCAAAAAGACTTTTACAGATTGGAAGAGTACTCCTGGATTAGCCTTCAAAAAGTGCCCAGTGGCAATCCAAGCAAGCTACTGCTTTTGTCTCTCCCTGAGAACAAGAATGCTACACTTCTCCACCATGTTTGGTTTAATGAAGAGCAGAATGAGAATTCTGCAAGTGTTTAAGAACAAAAAAAAAACACAACCATCCTTTTTATGCTTAATATTCAGCAAAGCAGTGAATTGTGCTGTTATCACAGGGAACAGAATTTTTTTGTTGTGTTTGATACTTGACTCTATGTACATTGGTTTGAGTATCATGATTTGCTCTGGAACCTACCTGAGTTTGTGATAGAAGACAGAAGTTAAGTCTTGGAATAAAGTGTCAAACAATGTACTTTGTTTTGCTAATCGATTTTCTAAGATCTGGGGAGTGAGATCCCAGTTATGCTGGTATTAAAATATTTCTGGAAGTAAACAAGTTAACTCAAATAGCTTAGTATAATAATTTAAGACACTTAAATATAAAATATGGGACATATCTTGTTATTTTAAAATAGCAAAGTTGTATTAACAACTCACCAGCTTTTCTTCTTTAATGTGAGCATTTTCTTCTTGAACTTTTTTACCAACTGCTGTTTCCTTAAAAAAAAAAAAAAGCATGAAGAACAGTAAAAGGCATTTAATATTACTATTTTATTTAGCAATATTGTATAACATGATATACTGAATCATCACTTAAAGAAAAACAATTATTTTGAAATGTCATCTTATCCATATGTTTTTTACTATAAAATGATAGCATATTAACTTCCCTAGAAAAGGTAATTTTGGAAATAGTTTTGTCATATTGTATAAGCAGTTAGTAGAAAGGAATGAGTAATCTGTGTACATCAGAGAGATCACTGCTATCATGTCTGCTGAATGACGATCTGAAAATATTCACCAAATATTTAATTTGTTTAAATTCCAAAATACCATTCTGATTTTTTGTTGCAGTTCTTGAAACTGTTTTTCCTTTGCTGCAAGATTGATGTTTTCTTCTCCCGCCATGTACTGAGATGTGACCTTGGACCTTATCAAGTCTGTAGTTACTTTCTTCAGTTCCTTAACACAGGAAACACATATAAATAGTTCATCCACTATAGGCATTGCAATTCAAAACAAAGACAAATCTTTTCAACTATCCTGACTCATGCCCTACTTTTTAAAAAACGTATGGAAACAACAAAATAAATTATAGGAACTAAAATTCATGAGACTGATTTGCTAAAATTTAAACTCCTCACCAGCAGATAAAAGTTTATTTTCAGAGGTAAAATGTTATTATGGCAATTTTACTGTGTTTGAAGTATTGATGACACGTAAGTAGTTTGTTATTTTCTCTTCCAAGAAGTATATTAGAAGTGGAAAATGAGCTGGCATTGGTAAAACCTCCTACACCAAAAGACACAATAGGAATAAGGTACCTATTGTAACTACTGTGTATGTTCCTGGGAATGAGGAGGGAAAGAAGGAAGAACAGTGACTATCTGGTAAAAACAGGAACTGGCTATAAATTTAGAGGATCCTTTCTTTTCCTGAAACATTAATTACTTAATCTCAGGAGAATGGTAAATTAAGTTTTATATTAGAGGCTTCTAAAACATGATTTTCCATCTAAAATATGCCTTTGATTTTATAGTCTTGATAATCTTTGAAATATCCTGCGCTTTTTTTTTTTTTTTTTTTGGTATCTGTTTTCTAACCAGTTTATTCCAAGCTCCTTGTACAGCAAATAAACAGTAAATGCTTTGATCTCATTAAATTACAACTTATAGTTCCTGGAGTCATAAATATTGTGCCCTGTTCCCCCCCACTCCTCCCATTCTGGTCTAAGGTAGTCTGTTTAATATCGCTCTCTCCTTGAGCGCTCTGACGTTTACTCAGACAAATAGCAGAGGTTATGAATGCTGCTCACAGATAGTATCAAGAATTCTGCATGATGCCAGAGTGGCCAACCCAGCATTCAGCATGGTAACAGTTTTATCTAACAACTAAGTTTGGTCTGTTTAACTTTTCTTCACGAAACTGGAATTCCATCTTATCACAGACCAATGGTTTAACTGTTCTGGACAAAATCATATAACAGTACAAAAGAAAAAGGGAAGATGATATGAGAGCTGAAAATCACAAATACAAAGTTTACAGAAAATACAAGTGTAGGTACTACTTTTAAATAGATACTAATTATTTATTTTTTTTTGCTAGAGGCTTTATTTTTCACTAATTAGCTACAAATAAATATAAAATGATCTAGTCCATACCAAGTGTAATTGCCAAAATAGTTATAGAACCTAAAGACAGGATGCTTTAGAACTCTGATATTCTACAACCTAGTAAGGCTTTTTCCATCTTTTGCAATAACAGCATATATCAGTTTTACTATTTTTACTAGAAGGCTTCGTAATGAAATATGCAAGGAGAGTCCCACCATTTAAGTGGCAGAAGGTGCAAGAGCTTTTAACTTTGTAAAATTGAAATGGTGCACTGTGCCAGTCTTTACAGAGAGCTACGTTAGTGGCACAGAGAGCACAGCTAACAGGTTGTGTGCTGCACAAGCAGGTGCAAAAGCTGCTATAGATCTGATACTGCTTATTTTCCAAAACTCAGAGTTTATCGGGTGGAGTACTAGTACTATTCAGAACCCTATAAATTAAATTAAATTGAACCTGGAAAATAATTTTATCAGGTTTTGAGGAATGCCAAGAAAGAATGATAAGGCTTTAAACCTATTCCTTTGATGTGTTGCTAACAGCCAACGCTTAGGGACATGGTTTCAGAAACACTTCAAGCCAGCCAAAGTCAAGAGCATCACAAAAGAAACAATTCTGCTCCTTAAATACATTTTCATTTTGGCAGTTCTAAACTAAAACCTATTGCCTTTTCTGGTGAAATGTAGTTTTAATGAATACAAAATTCTCATTCTACTTTCCCTCAAGGCTACATAAATACACGTGTCAGTATGAAGAGGTGGTATGGGACTGGAAAAGCAGCCAAGCACAGGCAAACATAGCCACTTCCCAAGACAGTGCTGATACCTTACACAAACTTCAAGAGTATCCAAAATTAAAACTGTATCTTTTTTGCTCTATTCCTAGATCGCTGCAACTCTCTTGTAATCGTTCAGGCCTTGAGCAACATAGCTGTTTTTTAAGCAGCAGAATGAAACAAAACTGTTTCTTGGCCAGATTTCAATGCAAGCATTTTCACAGTGGTTGAAAAGAATCCTACCACACTGAATATCAAAAGCTTTCAAATGCTAAAATACATGTTTCTGAAAAGGAAATCATGTTACAGTCCATTAAGCCAAGATTTAGGAACTGGACTTGTAAGCAGGCAATGTCAAGAGGAAACTACAACCTCGCTAAATTATTTATTTCTACAAATCCCAGAAGACTAAACCTGTGCAAAATGGACCTCAACTTAACCCTGGTTTTACTGTTGCACATATTTAACAGCCCCATCACATACTTGAAATTTCATTGAAATTGGAAATTATTTGATTTTTATCCATAAAAGTTGAATAGCATTCATTAACTTCAGATCCCCACTAAGAACAAATGTGTGAGCTCATCCTGGTTGGAGTCAAAGTAATGGCTGTGATAAGAGCTGACAACCAAATTAAGATTTTAGTGCTAAGGATAGTCATTCCCACTAAAGCAGTGAGGCTATAGAGGAAAGAAGTTTGAACCCACAAGTTGTCAGAGTTGTTAGAGTTCAATCAAGTCTCCCAGGCAGATAAACCAGCTCTATAAGTCATCCCCACTTGTGCTGCAGATATCACTACTTCTTTCAGCTAAGTAGCAAGTAAAAAGAGCCTGGTAAACCCTCCTCCAAACTCTTCGAAATATCAAAGTTTTCTCATTGCTTTGTAACCCTTTTAGATCCCTTCAGCTCTACAACAGATATATTCCCCAAAAGGGAAAACAATTGACTGCTTTAAAATCACTTTTTCAAACACTAGGCTAAGTACAAGATAACCACAACGAAATTAAACCATCTCAGGGTGCTTCTTACTAGGTCCAAGTACTTCTTTTCTCTTCTCCTACAAAGTGACCCAAAAGATGAGCCCTTTATGCACCTAACTACATAACCTTTCAGAAAAGTTTTATAAGGGAACTATTGAAATATAGAATTTTGAAAAATGAGCAGTATTTTTAATTAGATTGTTCATTTTTAACTCTGTTTTCACAGAGATTCTGTATTTTGAGGAAAAAAGACATCTGCATATTACGTACAACTTCTATTAATAAAACTATAAATATATATACCAAAGCCCCCCACTTCTGCAGAATAAGGCATTGCCATTGCAAAGTGCTACTGCAACACTGTGTGCTGAGGCTGAGACATTAAATTCCAGTTCAGTTTTCCACTGATTTTCAGAATGGGGTGGTCAAATACTGAACAACCAATAAGAAAATCAGAAATAACCAGGATAAAGGCATTTCCTGGTGAACTGAGAAAGCCAGATAAAGTTTCAGTTGGCCCCTTCTTCTGCTTATCTAACAGTATTTCATTTAAAATTCATCACCCATGACCTTAAGAATCAAGCATACAGCAGAAAAAATGGATCAAACAATATATTTGATTACTGGAGTACATAAATCACTATCAGTGATTTATCACTTAAGTTGCACACCTCTGTTACTTACAAATTTCAGTATGTAAAATTTTCTTAAATATTTTTATTTTCTTACCTCTCAAATTACTGACTCTTGGAAAGTTTAAAGTACTGAATTATTGTTTCTTTCTTAACCAAAAGTAGCAATTCTATTTACTGCAATGATTAAAATGTATAGAACTTCTTTATTTTTATATTTGCAATACATTACAATAGATCCTCCCTCCCTGGAGGTGTTTAAGGCCAGGTTGGATGAGGCTTTGTGCAGCCTGATCTACTGTGAGGTGTCCCTGCTCATAGCAGGGAGGATGGAACCTGATGATCTTTAAGGTCCCTTCCAATCTCAACCATTACGAAGAACACTTAAAGGAGCTGGGAATGTTTAGTTTGAGGAAGAGGAGGCTGAGGGGACACCTCATCACTCTCTATCTGAAAGGTCATTGTAGAGAGGTTGGTGCTGCTCTCTTTTCACAGGTAATCAGTGACAGAACAAGAGGGAAAGGCTTCAAGCTGCAACAGGGTAGGTTTAGATTGGACATTAGGAAAAATTTCTTCACAGAGTGATTAGACACTGGAATAGGCTGCCCAGGGAGGTGGTTGAGTCACCATCCCTGGATGTGTTTAAGAGTTGTTTGGATGTGGTGTTGGTGGATATGGTTTAGGGGAGGGCCTTGTAGAGTAGGGATGATGGTTGGACTCGGTGATCCCAGGGGTCTTTTCCAACCTAAAAAGTTCTATGATTCTATAGATAAGCTGCATTTAGATGAATGCTCAATTTTTGACACATGGAAATTACAATTCCTTTTTTAAAGAATGTGTACAGTTGATGTGCACTAAACACACACAAGACAAAGTTGTCCTCAGGTCTTCATGGTTATGACAATATTGGCTTTCTAACAAATATGGCTTTTTCATATACAGGAAAGCTATCACCACTGACAATTTCCAATATTTTTCTGTTGCTCTTTCATTGATCAAGTATTTCAGATAAACATACATAGGTTTTTATGCATAATATATAAATATGTATTTAACCTATATTTTAAATTATGTAGCTAAATAAACATTTCTAATGACCATAAAACTTAATTGTGATTTAGAAAATCATTTTATTTTTTCCCAGTGCTCTGCTTTACTGTTTTTGTAATTCTCAGCCTGTTTTTATGATGGGAAGGAGTTCTGAAATCTTTGAGGTAAGTCACTTCAAAACTTGATCTTTTTGAAACTAAGGCTTGCCATGTTATATTCTAGTATGTAACTAAACCAATACAGATTGAATTAATGATTAATCTTTACTGTGGCTAGAATATCTTAATGTAGAGAACTAGAGGAGGAAAGAATGAAAATAAATGAAAAAATCTTAAACCGTTTCTGCTTCAAGTTGAAGTTTATGTCCTCCTTACAAAGGCATCACACTCCAAAGAACCATAACAATAAGAAGTTGTGTGTTCTTAAACCACCACTAGATTCAGGAAGAGCTTTCAAGTACTTCTGTACTACTGCTGCCTTCCTTTCCCAGGGAAAGGTCATGGTAGGTAAAATCCAATTTTTCAGCAGTTTAACCCAAATAGAATATGCCCACAGTTCCTTCTCTTCACTTCAAAATTATCTTCCCCCCGACCCCTTTTTGTTTTGCAAGAAATTCACAAACCTTGCAAAGATTCCATGGTAGTGCAAAGCATTTGTCTGGAACCTTTAACATTAGGTCAAGAACAAACCTGTTTGTCCCCTACCTAAAATCCTCAGAGATTCAAAGTGTGGGGTGGGTTGCGGAGGTGGGGGGGAGTGGAGTAAGTAGAATAAAAAGATAAGGAGACATGAAGAAGCTGTGGTATGGAACCATATGAGTTTACAGGACAAATTCTATTTCAGACGATCCCTTCACTCTTCTCCTGTCAGCACTTACGGGACCCACAGCTCAAAGGGAAAAGAGAACTTTATTCTTCCCACTATTACATATGTTCAGGAGTGCAATTCAGAAACATACCTGGCAAACAGTATTTTATGAATAGATGAGGGCAGAAAAGAGCTCAATGGCCACACAATTGCTTTGTCCATAGTACCATTATTATCTAATATCTCAGCTGCCCTGTCACAAAACCCCCATTTCTGGTGGAGATTCAGTTGCACTTTTTATCTTAGGTTCAAACTACCAGCTTCCCTCTATGGCAACTACTCTTTATGTTCTATCTTGCTTTGACTAAACTGAAAACACTGCTGCTACCTTTCCATATCAGATGGGAGCAGCAGCAGCACAGGAGGAAGAGAGCTTGCTCATAATTAACAAGCAGGATGCTGTAGAGGTAAATAAAAATTCCCAAGTTACATTAACTATTCAGAGCTTCTAAAAGTTCAATTGGCATTCATCTGAAGTGTCTGTACATAACAAGGGAGCATAAGACTAATTTAGCCATTAGCCACAGAAGTAAGAACAGTTTTGCTGCTTGTCCACTACTTCTTTAATTACTACAGCAGCTTGCAGAAGTCCCAAAGAATCCCACTCATACATTCAGAAATGCATAGTATACTTACTTCCTTCAGATTACTTATCTCAGTCTCTTGTCTTTTGTTCACTGATGTTAGTTTCTTATTGAGCTGTATAGCTTCCTGTACTTTAAAGAAAAGTTAAAACATGTTAATATATGCTTTCATATTTGAAGGAATATTTAATTTATAATTGCAATGTATGTGTATATAATTTATAAAATAATAAAACACCTTTGTAGAAAGGAGGCTAAGACTGAAAATACTATTCAGCTACTTTTTCTGTGTAGTGTGATGCTGCACTGGGGGATTACATCAGGTGGTACGAGTTGTTCTATACCTCAAACAATGAGTTAAGACTTTCCTGTCTGTTGGCTTGCTTTTTTAAAAATGAAAAAAAAGTAGTAACTTAATTTTTAGTGTAATTTGGTGTCACTTTATTAGGATTACTTCTCCATTAACTCTTTATCTTAGTTTTGTTTTTTAACTAAGGTTTTGCTTTTAACTATCTGATTTAAGTATTTTTAGAGAAACAGAATATACTAAACCACAGAACATTCAAGTTAAGAGAGGTACAGACCCACATGCATATAGGACATGAAAGACAGCAAACAGCAGATGATAATGGAATGGAAAATGCTAAGAGAAGTCTCTGTCCCATTTGAAAGGGAAGGAAATTTTCTCTTAGACCTTACATAGGCCCAGACATCATTAGGAAATCACTTTGAAGTTTCACAGTGAAAAGCTGAAGATATTCACTGGTTCCTGTACTTTTTCAGTCACTTCTGTTCAATCTCAGTATATTGATCCTCTGAGATCTCTCTTTAGCCTTTTTTATTTCCTGATTCCTCCTCATCCACTCCTAATCTTTTTTTTATTTTCTCAAAAAACAGCTGGCACAACACTTGAATACAAGAACCCCAGACACCCCATCACACCTAGGAGGTTCTTTCCTTTTCTGTTAAAGGTGGTAAGCATCATGGGGAATGACAGGCAATAGCCATGCAATAAAATAAGCAGTTTAGCAGTTTTCATATGAGATATGTGCTTAAGAAATGAAAATACTTGAGAAAGTAACAGATATATTCTGATACAATTTAGAAAAACCCCACAAAACCAAGCAGGCTAAAACTGGTAAAACTCTCTCCTGTCTTTCAACAAGAGTCATGTATTCACCCTCTAGCTTTAAAATACTAATAGTGGGATGTTGGTTAGGCAATAAAATTCTAGATTTATTATTAATTGTGGTATATTCCATATGCACTATTATAAAAGCAATTTTCAGCT